TCACCTCTCCTAGCCAAGGCACTAAGGTAAATTTCAAAAAAAAAAAAAAAAAAAAAAACGGATCTGCTAAAATTTCTAAGATATTTATAAGATATTGAACTTGAGGTGAATAATCTTTTAGATCTTTTGATATCAACTTTTTGATATCAACTATGTACTTGTATAATCAGGTAAACATATCTTGAATTTTTCTCTTTTTATTTTTACAAATGATGCTGAAAATCTGTGTTTGTAGCTTTGGTATGGTAGATTCAGGTAGAACAATGGCCAAAAAAAAAGACTCAAATTATTATCAGCAAGGGCTGAACTTTTGTATGTTTCAACCCATTCTTTCTGATTTGAGGGCCGGACGTTTAGGAGGGGTCTAAACCTCCGACAAATATTTGGTGGGGTAACGTTAATTACAGGCAACATGTTAACATATATTAAGAGTTTTTTTCTGAGGGAAATATTTATCAAAAGCAGGTCAAATATAGGTAAACTCTTAATTGGGTCATAAGAACCTTTTTTTTTTTTTTTTTTTTTTTTTTGAAAACAAATGCTCCAGTCTATTCGTGGGGAGCAGCACGTGCTGGGAACCAGGCCCAGCGTCCCATATCGAATTGTACAGATCATTGAGAACATTTGAGATCATTTGAGATACCAGGGCCATTACCCGGCTTCGGCTGAGAACAGATGACCTATTGAGAAACTACTCATGCAATAGGCTGCCACAGAGGTCCTATGAATGCTCACAACCCTCAGGATCCCTAACACGCCCTTCTAAGACTTTCCAACACAGTCTTACTCCCTGCTGAGCTCTTCCAGGCCTCACCTGCTGGGTTACCGGGCAACACAACTCGCCCCAGCTCCGACCAGCGTCATCCCAGCAGCAACCCTTGGTTGTCCCTCGGGATGCCCACCCCAAAGCATCCCCAGATCTCTCTACCAGGCCTCGCGCTCCTGCATCAGCAGGTTACAGGGCAACACCCCAGCACCGGCCAGAGTCGTTCTGGCATCGAACAGCTGCAGATCACTGAGTATAACAGCATCGAAACCGCCTAAGATGGGTTGCTAAGAGTCCCTAGAGTCCTAAGACATTCATAAGAACAACCGACCTTTTTTCCACTGTTCAGACTCTACCAAGTCACTAGAATATGTGTGTCGAAAAGCCTTCCAACCATGAATCAGATAGGTGAAACCTATTCAATCCCCCTACGACCACCACCAGCATGGCTGTTTTCAGCACGAACCGAAACTCTTCCAGGCCTTATGCTCCCATCAGGTTAGGTTACAGAGTTGCACCACCTTGCTCCAGCACCGGCCAGCATTGCTCCAGTTACGACCCCCGATGACCACTGAGACTGCCCCCGCAAACAGCCCCCCAGAGCCCTCTACCTGGCCTCACGCCCCCACTAAGCTAGGTCACAGAGTTGCGCCACCTGGCTCCGTCTCCGGCCAGCGTTGCTCCAGCATCGGTCTTCGAGGGCCACCGAATTTTCAACCACCCTTCGCAGGATCACAGATGACTTGCCAGATAGCACCTATTCCTACAACCTCCTCGAGGGTCATAAGAACCTAAGAATGTATGTGAGTAAAAATTATATGAATCTTCCTTTTCTATGGAGCTTATTGCCCAAATTTATGAAAATCGTTAATATCCAACAAGGAGGAGGAGGAGGAGAAGAAGAAGAAGATGGCGGGAGAAAAACGGAGATAGCAGGAGGAACAAGAAAAAGAAGAACAAGATGGAGGAGTGGGGGTGAAGCAAGAAACAGCAGAGGATGAAAAAAAAAAAGCCTGGATCTTCGATGAATAAGGAGAAAGGAGTAGGAGATGGTGGGAGGAGGAAGCAGGAGGAGATGGCAGGAGGAGGAAATGGCCAGATGCCCGTGGCTGGATCATATGAAGAACAACGCAATGCCATGTCGTGGGAGGAGAAAGAATGATACGAAGAACATCGAGAGGTGGACGAAGGACTGTAGGAGGACGAAGCAGCAGAGGAGGTTACAATAACCAAAATGAATAAATGGACAAGAACTATGTCCGAGTAATCCCCCTTACTTTCAGCACTCAAAGAGCTTTCCTTTCAGGCACACTCTTCTCTCTCTCTCTCTCCTCTTTTGGTTGCCAGCTGGCTATGGTGGTTATGGCGGAACATCCCTGAAACAAGCAGATGTTCGAAGGACAACCCAACTACTAGTGTGCCTCTCCTGACTCAGGCCACCATAGCCATTCTCCTGGATGAAGTCCAAGAGTAGTTGGTACCCTCACAGGGGCCTTCCAGATGCAGCCCCAACCGAGGAAATGGAGATGAAGCTCCACCATAGCCAAAGGTAAGTCTCCCATATCAGTTCCTTCCTCCTCCCTCTCCCTCCATATCAGTTCCTTCTTCATTCCTCTCCCTTGACCTCCACTCTCTTCCTCCTCCCTTCGTAGACTAGGCTGAGGTACTTCTCTCTCTAATTCCATCGCCTAGCCCTACTCCCTTCTACTACTACATCGGCATGGAGGTCTTCCTCTACACCCTCCAGCTCCACCGCTTTAGGTCGAGCTCGGCCTAACTCTCTGGGCAGAGCAACAACATGACTCGTGGGACCATCTCCCGACCGACACTTTCACCAAGCGATGTGCCTTTGACTCCTGACCTCCAGTCCTTCCCTGGCCTGGTACAACGGTCTCTACCAGAGAGAGCTGGACCTACTCGCAGTTCCTGCCTTTTGGTCGGAACATCATTGCAGTTGACAATCCAACCTCAGCGTCTGAACCTACCCTGAAATCTACCTTAAGTACGGGTCCTCAACCATCATGACCTTGATTGGAAGCTACCAGACATTTCTACGCCTTCCTGACTCATTTAAGCCTCTACCTGAGTTGCACGGAAATCCCTAACGAGTACTTGCCAAATTCTACTTCTCTTCCTGTCCATCCTGGCCTTTCTATAACGTCCATTCAGTATCTAATTTCCGTCCTACCCCTGTCGTTCTACCTAGTTCTGATATCACCCTCCCTCTCAGGACATAGGAAATGCAGATCATGAGAACAGAGTTCACAGTATCGCAATCATCCTGTAGAGACTTGGACACAGGCAAACAGCAATCACACTCTTTTTTTTTACTTTTTATTTTCATGGAAATCTCAGCGATTCAAGCCAACAAACAGCAGTTCTTAGACAACCGCAGAAATCTCAGACTCATTCTATGCGCGTCATGGCATCATTCAATGCCAAGGTCACTCAAGTCTCATGCAGACGATCGCACGACACCTGTGTTGTGTTTGGGGGAAGGCGGTAGCCTGGAAAGGTTCGGAGCACATCGGCATCGGCTTCGGTTTAATCCATATGTGCCGTAAATGATACTACTATGTTTTAGTGTGAAGCTCGGAAGCAGGAACACACACATATCCAGACTCCTGGCAAGTAAGTGAAAGTCTAACAAAACAGTCTGGCACATTGATGCTTTTTTTATTTTTATTTTTTTTAATGGAGTGGTGTATACAGCAAACATGACAACCCAAACACATGCACAAAGAAAACGAAAGGAAAGTGAGGAAAAAAAAAAAAAAAAAAAACACAGTCAAAAAGGCACCTTGGAAGTGTCTCTATACAATGATAGCACCATTCCTGTGGTACACAGATCTCCTTCAGCTCTGCACGACCTCCTCCCTAGGAATGGCAGAAATGTCAAAACGAGGGGGGGAGAGTGGGGGGTGAGGACGGCTAACGAAAGTCTAAGAGAGATCAGACCTACCAGAACGTAAACTCTGGAAACAATGTGGGGTTAATAAAGAAGGGAAATGCCGGCCGTTCGGGGGAGGAGGAGGAATGAAAAGGAAGATGATCAGGGATATGGGGGTGGGGAGAGGGGCTGTGGTTGAGTGACATGGATGGTACTTTGAATGGTAATGAGCAGAAACCAGCCATACAGAACAAGAAGAACGATGTTCACTAAGGTATAGTCCATATGCCAAGAAAGTAGGTGGAGCAGAAGAGGGGCGATGACCGACAAAGTATGGTGAGAGGGTCAGTGAATGAGGTTAATTAGTGTTGCGTATCTTTTGAAATCAGAGCATACACTGCCACAGAATCAATTAGAAACGGTGAATCGGCAAGGACTTCAGGCAGTTGGCGGGATCAAGGTCGGGTCTCTCTCTCTCTCTCTCTCTCTCTCTCTCTCTCTCTCTCTCTCTCTCTCTCTCTCTCTCTCTCTCTCTCTCTCTCTCTCTCTCTCTCT